AGGCTTTCCTGAAGGCCTCTGCAGCCGATAACAGAGCTCTGGATCGATCTGCAGAGGCCTTCAGGAAAGCCTTGCCGGCTGCATAAGAAGTTCCTGAAGGCTTCTGACAGTGAAAAGCAGGCCGGGGAGTGACATATGCAAGTGAGGTGAGTCAGTGGATGACACCCCCCCCCAAAGTAAGACCTGGTGCCTTTTTTGGTGGCAAAAATATAAGACAGCAACAGGGCAGATGACGCTACACTCCTTCTCCCTCGGATGGCGCATGCGTACTCAGACAAGTACGCTGGACGCCTGCGTATTCTGTTGGAACGCCACAGTTCCGGAGCGGATGGTTCGATGTGTGGCGGGGTTGATGTTGCCAGCCCTGGCTTCTCGGTTTCCTTAGGCATTGGTGGCCTGGCCTCGCTCGGAGACTCCAGCGGCGGACAAATGACTGGATCCACAGGTACATCAGCCAACGGGGCCGCCAGAGAGGAGGGAGTGCGGGCCGTGGCTCCGGCTTGGAAGTTGTTTTCGGACTCCGCCACTGCAATTAGTCTAGGTTCTGACCTGACTGGCACTGGAGGGGAAACAAACAGTTGCCCCCGGATCTGATCAATGTGTCGGCGCCAGCTTCGACTATCCTCGAGCAAGATCCTATAAGATCCTGTTATTTTTGAAATTTGACCTGGCAGCCAGCGAGGCTCCCCCCCATAATTTCGGGCATACACTCGGTCCCCAAGGTTAAAGGTCCTGACCCTACTGGTAGAGTCCAGGGGGGTATCTGTTGCATAGTTCGGGTGTAGCCTGTCCAGGGTTGTTCTGAGGCGACGGCCCATGAGAAGTTTGGCCGGACTGGATAAGTTAGTAGCTCAAGGGTTTCTGGAACCCACAGACCACTCCCCGTGGGAGACCCCCATTGTCATAACTATCAAACCCGATGGGTCTATTCACATCTGTGGGGATTTTAAATGTACCCTCAATCGGGCCTTGCAAGCGCACCCCTATCCAGTTCCTGTGGTCCAACATCTCCTACATCCCCTGGGTCGGGGCACCATGTTCTCTAAGCTGGATATGGCCCAGGCCTACCAGCAACTGCCTGTGGATGATGCCACTGCGGCCGCCCAAACGATCGTCACCCACAGAGGGGCTTTTAAGTGTCGCTGCCTCCAATTTGGAATTAGCATAGCCCTTGGATTATTCCAGAGCCTCATGGAGCGTTTGTTGCATGGTATACCTGGTGTCATCCCTTATTTTGATGATGTTTTGGTTTCTGCAACTAGTGAGGCCCAATTGCTCCACTGATTATGTCTCGTCCTCACCCGTTTTAGGCAGACAGGCTTCAAACTTAAAAAATCAAAATGCAAATTTGGTGTTCCCAGCGTCGAATTCTTGGGGTTTTTAATTGATGCAGATGGTCTGCACCCCACACCTTCTAAAGTAGAGGCCATTAAGAAGGCCCCAACTCCCACATGCAAGGCAGAGGATGCTACAGTTACTGCTCCAAATATATGTAGCAAAGTACACTGTTTCTTCTGCAAAAGAATTGTTAATGGAAGTCTAAAACAATCTTGCATTTAAAAAATTTGGAAACCATTTTAAGATTGCAGGCAGTCCTCAACTTGCAACCACAATTTAGCCCAAAATCTGTTGTTAAGTGAAACATTTGCTAAGTGAGTTTTGCCCCATTTTACGATCTTCCTTACTACAGTTTTTTAAGTGAATCACTGCAGTTGGCAAGTTACTCACCTGGTTGTTAAGTGAATCTGGCTACCCCATTGACTTTGCTTTTCAAAAGGTCTCAAAAAGTGATAACATAACTCTGGGATACTGCAATGGTCATAAATATGCCAAGCATCTGAATTTTGATCATGTGACAATGGGGATGATGCAATGGTCATAAGTGTGAAAAATGGTCATAAATTACCTTTTTCAGTGCCGTTATAATTTGAATGGTCACTAAATGAACTGTTGTAAATTGAGGACTACTGTATAAATTTATACATGGGATTGTACCGTATCTGAAAAGTGGGTTTCTTCTAATATAAAATTATTATTGCTTGAACCATAAATTTCTGTAATTCTTCATCTCATTTTATTGTTTATACATGTTGACTGTTGGATGTTCATGTTTTAGTTGGATTTGAACATGATTTATAGCTTTTTAAAAATATAGTAATTTATTTATTTAAGCTAATAAATTGAGTATTAAAACTTTAAAGTAATTCTATGATACAGTACTTATAAATCAGTTTATCTGATTTGTGCTTTCCTTTTCATGTGTTTTTCTTTTTCTTAAAATTTTTCTTTAAAATGCTTAATAAAATAATCAATAAGATAATTTTTATTATAAAATAATAACCAAAACAACAGCTTCTTATGGTACCTTCTCAATATAATCTAAAGTCAGCATACTATATTGGTTAAGACAATAGTTCTCAGTCTGTGGTCTGTGGTCTGCGGATCTCTGGGGGACCGTGATGTTGTTATGGGGGGGGGTCAGTGAAGGCTTGAAGAAATGTTATGATGTAACTCTTGAGTTAAATCTTAGTGGTCTGTGGCCATGGTCCCTGGCTATTTGGGGGGGGGGGGCATGGTGAAGAAAAGGTTGACAATCACTGGGTTAAGATGTTGGTCTTGGAACAGGAAGTTCTAGATCTCAGTCCTCACTTAACCATAGTTCACTGAGTGAATTTGTGTCAGATATTTGTTGTCAGCATAATATATTTATGATTCCAATACACTGCCTTGAGCTCCCAAAGATGAAATATAAATGTAGTTATAATGACTCTACCTATTCACATGCTTTCCTATAGATATTGAAAACCATCCTGACACCCATGCCAACAATAATATTGGTCTTCATAACTATCTCCTGACAATGCCTAGAGAAGAAAAATAGATTTCCAAGAAAATATGTCAGCCCTAAGTATGTAACTTCTAGAACTTCATCAAAATATTTTGAAGAGCCTCGAATGTCCCAAATAATTCCTTGTCAGTGATGGTCCTATTATGCAGCAACTTATTTGTGAAAGTATGAACAAAGCAGCAAAAAAGAACGATGGGTAGAGATAAATAAATATCCTCAAAATGTGTAGACAATGCCTTTCTTAGCTCAGAAATTTGAAAAATGTAATTCCACAAATTCAGCATAGAGAACCCATTTGAGAAATCCTGGTTGGATTTATGCTTTTTGCAAATGTAGACCTCAATCCTTAACTGAGGTCTACATTTAGCAGAGCATAAATATCTGAGTAAAATCAAATTCATGAAGGCTCCAATAGAAAGCCTGCATTTTTTAGCTTTTTGTCCTTATTGATGGGGGTAAAGGAAAGGATAGAAGGAAACACTACTTGTTCTCTCATCTCCATTCTCTCCTCAATCCAGGGGAAGGTTATTGCAAAATCCCCATTTCCTTCTGATCAGCTGGGACTTGGGAGGCAGAGAATAGATGGGGGCGGGGCCAATCAGAGTTTTTACTACCGGTTCTCCGAACTACTCAAAAATTCCTCTACCAGTTCTCCAGAACTGCTCAGAACTGCTGAAACCCACCTCTGGATGAAAGTTGTAAAAAGTTGTTGATTCATCTGGAACTGCATTCCAATGTTAGAGAGCTCGCATGTTGAGGTAATGTAGTGTAGATGAAAGTAGTAACCATTTGGGAACAATGCAAAAAAGCTTATTAAAATGTTGTTGTAAAATGTTGATGAGGGCCTTTGGGCCAGCAGCAACTGCAACACAGATTTTTTTCAGATATCACAATGGTGCAATTCTAATTACAAAAAAGCAGCAGGCTGACATAAGAAAAGAAGTGATACTAAACTACGACAAAACAAAGTTTGAGCTTTAGGTAGAAAAATATGTGGGTTATGTGGCATAAATTGAACTCTGACAAGTGATCAATCACTGAAGTTATCCCATATTACAAAGCTTCTCTGCCGGAAGGGAAAAAGTAAACAAACAAACATATGGAGCTGGCCACCCATGAAGATCTAGCTGGTTGTCATTTTTTGTTTTTATTTTCTTCCAAAGGAGCACTTTTTTGATGAAATTAGCAACATTTGTTCTCAGAGAAGGAGTAGTCTCCTCTTTTAATTCCCTAGCTAAAAACACACAAGCATTTTTTAAATTAAAAGGACACTTCAAGGCAAATAATAAGTGGTGTGGTAGCCTAGTAGTGAAGATTCTCACCTCCCACTCTGAAGGTTGAGAGTTCATTCCTAGGTAGTGGCAGATGTTTTTCTCCTAGGGCACAAAGAAAAAAAAAATCTGCTGCAAACTCTGCATAGGCATCAGGAAGGGCATCCAGTCAGTAAATGTTCAGCTATATGCAGTTGCTCTAACTCTATCTTAAATAGTGACTATGGGGTCATAAAAAAATATTGAAGGCAAATAATATGATTGCATTATTTTTTAAAGCTTAGAAACCTCTTGAGATAAAGAAAAAATCTATATTAAAGATCAAAACTGTGTTATATATACCAACAGTGCTACTCTTGCATAAGAAGTACAGATGAATTGTGCTCTTGAATTTTAAGCACTCTTCATTTTACCTGGATTATACATGTTAACACATATTGAACCATTAAACCTCACACTCTGGTACTGACCTCTTTCGTTTCCTTTTAAATGAAACTTTTAAATACAATTTATTTTGCTAGATAGGTTCACCTGGCTCAGTGCTTTTAAGTGTCCCACTTTTCATTTTAGGGCCTCTGGGAGAATATTAAATCAATTATTGATTTAAAGTGACTGTAATTAACTTGGATTGAGTCATAGTTATAATTTGAATTACATTTTGATTTTGCAGGAGGGATTAGCTCTCTTCTTTATAAATTTTTAGCCCAAGTTAGAAGAATTGTCATGTCAGCCAGTAAGCTATAACATAGAAGAGGACAAAGACAACATCTAGGAAATGGTAAGGAGTTATCAAAATCCCTAGCCATTGTGCGTACAGGTTTAGCTTTCACAGTGATATCTCCATGCCCAAACAGAGTCTGAGAAAGGTACAGGCATCAACATTCTTTTCCATTTGTAATCCTCCAATATTTATTTTTATTAATACAATCTGTTAGGGAGAAAAATGGAATAGCTATACAATGTACTTTTGATTTATACTAGTATTTATGGTTGAGCCAGATGATTAAGACTGCATTTGGAATTTCTATCTATTTCATATATTTTATCTGTTGTTACATGTTGATTTTTTTGCCTTCTTCCAATCAGTTGACAAAGCTTGTTCTTAAGCTGCTAAAATAAAGCCTTCAGTTTCTTTCTTTAACATTCCTGATCTTAATGAACATGTATTTTTTATCAGATTTTTCTTCTATATCCTTCAAGTGTTGGCCATGCATTGACTTGTTCTTCCATTTAACAAATCATTTCAATTGTTTCTTTTCTATATTCAGCCATTATCTTTGTTATTCTCAAGAGAGTTCCTTGATTCACTGTCTTCAACAAGGGTTCTTGGTTTTTCTTAGTTTAGTGTTGACTTTGTCAATGCTGATAATTTTCAGATAGTGCTCCATATGATGATCATGATCATCAAACTTAATATGGTGCTGCTCAAATGCAAATAACTGTGTGATACATAATAACAAAACAAAATAAAAACAATAAGAAACAACAAACAACCAAATTGAAATAGAAGAGTTGAAAAAGAAAGAAAAACAAAAAGGTAAGCCTTCTAGCAGATATCCCCAAACATCCCAATATCTAACCCATCCATCAACTGTTACCCAAGGCCTGAGAGAATGCCATAATTAGACTGGATATGAATCCATGATAGATGTACTTTGAGATACGGATCTAAAAATATAAATTGGGTTAGAAAATATTAGCAATTTGAACTTATCCAGAAACAAATTAGGAGTCAATGATTTAATGATAATATGACAATTACGCCTAATTCTTACAGCTGTTCTATCTGCCATATTTTTGTTCTAAATCAAGTTTTAAGAGCTGGTAAAAGATGCTTCGTGACACAAAAGACACTTAATGCTCCTAATAACAAAGACTGATCTAGAGAAACATGCACACTATAACCCTTTTCAGAACCCTTTTCATAACTGACTGAACACGACTCACACAATTATACAGTATACTATTAAACAATATTTCTGTCTTGTTTCAATGGAGCTTCAGCTTACTGGCTTTCAGCCAATCCATTATCGCCAGATAATGATTAATCTACTCCATTGACTTACCTAACTCTAATGAGAAAAAAAAAAAGATCAATGGCCCTCTATTCTAAATGTCTGAATACTCTAAACCTCTACTCTAAATCTCTGAATGACTTCATTCAACATGCAAATATTAAATGGAATGCAGTTAACAAAGGACACTATTCCCTGTGTTTGAAAAGAAAAAACCTTGGTAATACATTCTTGGATGGTCATCCATCCAAAAAGGATCACTACAAATTCAAATCTGCTTCATCCTTTTTTATAACAATTCAGTAATCAGTAGCTACTGAGTGGTCAAATAGCATAAATAGAAACTCATCCCCGCTCTTCTCCTTAAAAAAAGATAATGTCACAGAGCAACCAAGGCAGTTTTGACACTACATTCTGCTTTAAAGTGCAATTATAGATCTAGAAAATTCACTTCATCACAGAATATTAGGCTTCAATCCAGCACCTTACTAAAGAACCAAATACTAGCCCAGGCATCCACAATTAGCTACAATGATAGAAAACAAACAAACAAAATCAGAGCACGAGTTGTACATTAAAAAACACAGTATAACTATAATAACCCACCTGATCCAGTAGTTTTTACTTTTCAGGATTATATCAGCTACTTTAGAACCATGGTAACCATTTTATACACCAGAGAAAAAGTCAAGGCTTCAGAGACCATTCCTGTTGTGTCTCTTTCTTTTGCTTTCTCAATATCTTTGAAGGCAGAACACTTTTGAATGTAGGGGGCCAGCATTCCTTTCCTCCATTCCATGCTCAGGCTGGCTGGGAAGTTCAGAGTTAATATTTCACCTTGGTTTTCAATTAGGCTGTTACAAACTTCAGAATCACCTTTCCCTTCCATCTATTCATTCACTTACTTTACCCTGATGGGGGAGGGGGGGAGAAAATGAAAGCGATCAATTCCATCTTGATATAATTATGATTATCATCATTCTTCTTTGAGTATCAATACATTTCATTTACCAAGAGAACCAGTTTCAAACCCATTTGAATACAGTGACTTTTAGAACATCTGTCTCCTCCGTTCTCCCCCCTTTCAGCCACCTACAAGATATTACCTTGAAATATGTTTAGGCTTACAGAAGGTACCTTTAAATAAAGCAACATTTAAGGTGCAGTGTACCTTTATTTTATGTTTATTTTTTTTTATTTGGTATGAAGAAAGCTTTCACACATAGGTGAGAAAAGGGTTGGGCAAATGTACACACAGTTGGCAATTGTAGCTTTTGGTTTTTTCTTTTTCTTGAAAGAAACAGAGCCCTAGGTTATATTTAAAGATGTTGGAGAGACAGAGGGGGAAAAGGAGGGAGGAAAGAAGGGAGTGGGGGAGAGAGAGAGATTTGTCAAGGCAGTATTGACTCCTGATGACTGTCTGGACTAGTCCCTACAGTTTTCTTGGCAACATTTTCAGAAATGGTTTGCCATTGCCTCCTTCCAAGGATTGAGTGAGAATGATTAGAAATCAGTCTTCTGATTTCTAGTCTGGAGTTTTAATCATTACATCAAACTGGCTCTCATTTGAGAGTGTTTAGCTATGTTTTAAGACATATATTTGAAGTATTTATTTTAAATTTGGTATCTGTGTTTTTATGTATATTGGGGCATGACCAAAAGATGATGTTGGAGAATTCTCATTTGACACCTCAACCACTGGGCCATGGTCTCAGGCCCAGTGGGGACAATATGTATGTTAAAGTGAGATATGCCAAGAAAAATAAAACCACCTTTTTCTGTCACTCAAGCAAAATAATAAACTACTTCTAGAATCTCATCAACTCTTCTTATTTCTGCTTTAAGGAGATAAGACGACCTCATTCAGCCAGGACCTCCAAAATACTGTGCTATGTTTCAAGTGTTTTGTTCAGTTTTTAATTATCTGTATTTTACTTTAGATTGCTAGTTGCTTTGAGTGTCCTATGGGAGAAAGTATTGATCAAAATAATGGCAAGCCAGGCAACTAGTTCATGTGGCTCAGTGCTGTTTACCATGAAAATTGAAGTTATTTCCAGTCATTTGGAGGTGCCAGTAATTGAATCATACACCTTTTGCATGAAAACCTCTTTAACATTGACACTTTAGTCTGTTGAAATTGGGTTCTTAAGTTCTTATAAGTTGTTAAATGGCCTTTTTAATGGGTGTAAAAATAAATGGTTGATTTAGTTGTGTATTTTTCTATTTCTTATGTATGAGTGGGGGACAAAGACAAGACAGTGCTTGGAACTTTTTCTGAAAAATAGTTAAATGGAATGAAGAAGAATGAGGCATTTGAGCTGACATTTTTCTTTAATACATTTTTTTAAAAGAAAATAAGTTTATCTTTGCTTACTGCACATAATTTTATGCCTCAACAGAGATGGGATAGATACAGCTTAATAATTTTATTTATTTAGTACGTTGATTTACTAGAAAGAAACCAGGAGATAAACAGCACAAAATTTCCTACCTGTAAGAACAAAACACTCTGAAATGGAACTAAGCTAACTGTTAAAAAATACATTTATCAAAATCAAATATTAAACATTCAGTATTACCACAAAAAAAAAGGAATAATTTAGGGAGAAGTGGTAAACCACACCTGTATTTTACCAGGCAAACTACATGGATAAAAATACAACATGTTGGATAATAGCATACTTCCACATACTTATGAGGAAGAGCTAAAATCTTTAAGATTACTAATTGTATTTATGATGTGGTGATACTAAAGCTTTTGGGATGTCTAGTTTCTGATGTTGCCATGTAGGCAAAGAAAATCTGAAAGTGTAAAGACAGAATTAGTAGGAATATGGAATGTACGAAGCACTAACACAGGAAAGCTCAACCCAGCGAAGTATGAAATTTTTGACATAAGCAAATTGAAATGGACTGCAATTGGACAGTTTCAGTCAGAAGATCACATTGTTTACTCATATTGTTTTCAAGCCATGAAAAACAAAATGGAACAGCACTGCTTTCATAGTCAGGAAAAATATAACAAGTCCAGTATTTGAGTAGAATGCAACTAATTACTGAATAATATAATTAGATGTCATAAACAATTCTTTAATGTAACAGTTATCCAAGTTTATATTCTAAACATTGATACAAAAGAAGAGTTCAATCTGAAATCAAGAGAGCAAGTAAAATGTACTGCTGTTAGTAAAGATTGGAATGCTAAAGTTGGAAATAATAAAGAAGAAAGTATAATTGGAATGTATGGACTAGGAAACAGAAATGAAACAGGAAAAGAATTTATCGATTTCTGCCAATCCAATGATTTATTTATTGCTAGCATAGTCTTTCAACAATTGAAACAACGCCTGTAAAGCATTCTGTATCCTCGCTAGATGGAATATACAGAAATCAAACTGACTGTATTATTGGAACAGGGAATTAGAAGACCTAATTTGTAATATAAAAGATGTGGCAAGAAGCTGTCTGAAGAAAAGATCATGAACTGTGCAATTCCACATGCAAGTTCCAAGTCAGCCTAAAGTAGCAGAAGCAAGCTAACATGCTATGATTTTTAAATATACAATATTTTTGAGGAGAACATCAGGAATCATTTGAAATTATGAAATCCATGGATAGGTAATCAATAGAATGTTGAATGCATTCAAGGAAATTGTTAAGGTTTAATGTAAAAAGTGAAAAGGGGGATAAATAGTAAAAAGGAGGCAGAGGGAATAATTTCCCTAGACGTGTCTCAAACTATAAAGGCCAGAGGATAGGAAAATAAAAAGTATTTATTTTTTATCATTTTTTTTCTTTTATTAGCTCTTCAGGCAAAGAGTCAGTGGGATTCCTATTTGTCTAATAAACTGATAATGATGGCATACTGTATCTCTGGGAGCAGTAATTACTAAGAAGCTACAGCTAAGTAGAAATGCAAGCAGGGTATGTACTTTAGCAACCATCTGGAAAATGTAAGACTTCCAACCTTTTATTTTATGGGCTTGCTTTTCTACTACCACAAGGCAAATATGGGGTGGGGGTGGGGGTGGGAGGAAGGAGAAGGTAACAATTATGTAGACAGAATTCTAAATAAAACCAGTAGAGTCATCAGTACCATACTTATTACCCCCTTGAATGAGATTATGAGTTTCAGCCATTGTTCAGCCTTTGTAAGGTAGTGGAGAGAGACATGCCTACATGACAGGGTTATTTGAGGGACTGCCTCTACCTAGTTACATGTACCAGTACCTGACCCATCAGGTCTGGCAAGAGGCTCTGGTCCGCTAAGACATTCAGCAATACTGCTCAATTATATAACTGAGCTTCAGTTACAGTATGATGGAAGGGACTAAGAAGATTCCTTCCTGCATTCTCATGTCACATAGGTTTGAAGCATCGATGACAGTTACTACATATCCTTCCTTCCACCAGCAACATTCTGAGGTCATCTCCTTTTCTTCTTTTCACCATTCAAGTCAGTGTATTTCTTGTTTCAATGAACCATGTCCAGAAGGGATAATTCTATAAATTATTCAGTTGTATCATGGTTTATTTAACACTAGAAATGCACCACAAACTAACATGCTAGTGTAAAAGGCTTATTCTACATGACACCCTAGGGGTATTGAACTACAAGTCTTACCATTGCCAGACAGAATAACCATTGTTCAAGAAAATAGACTGAAAAATATAGTTTTCTGGGAAATGAGGGAAAGTAGAAGTTCAGAAGACTGTCAGAGGAAATATGGAAGATAACTTGAAAATGACAGTGTGGAAGAGAGAAATGCATAAGCAAAGATGAAGCTGTGAAACAGGTAAGAAAATGGGATGCATAATATAGAAAAAATATGTGCCCATTAACTAGAGATAAAGGATCACTACCTGTATCTTACAAAACACACACTCAAAAGGCAAGGCTAATCAGATCATTATAAATTTGAATGGGCTCTTTTCTTGAAACTCATGTCAAAAGGTGAAGCTTGGGTGTGCATTCCAAACAAACAAATAACCTTTCACATTCAAATTATCTAAAATCGTATGATACGAAAACTAATTTAATTACAAGTGAAGAGTTGCCTTTCCGGCTTCCGCCTCCTAAAAGATTAAGGGCATAATTAAATGCATATTTCCCAATCACACGTTCCTGTGAATTAAATGAATTTTACTTTATATCATAATTATAGCTAACCAGGTTATGAACAAGAAAATGAAAGACCTTTACACTATTGAGGATTGATATCTTATTGTCAGTGGTGTTGGATGGTAAATGCTACAGAATCCCCTATGGTGACAGGCTTTGTCTTTGTAAAGCTGGGAGCTCGATTGAATTATGGGATCATGTCCTGCCTTTCAGTTTATTTTACTGGAACACTTGCAGTGAGTTACTAGCAGCTCTCCTTAATCAATTTCTAGGTTGGACAGAAGAATTCTATGTGTAGCTTCTTTTGGAAGATAAATTTCCTAAGATAATGTTTGCTGTTGCAAACTTGTATTTGTAACCTGTACAATTTGGTGTTGTTGACAGCAAAGTAAAATAAGCATGACTACAGGCCATTTTTTATTATGTATGGGCTATGTATTACTGTATATACTGTGTTTTGTTTTATGAGGTCTGGATCTGTGAGTTGTAATAAATTTGATTGACTGGATTTAGTGGAACTCTGTGAGCAGACATGTATAAGATTGTGCTATTTAAGTTAGTTGCCATCAGTGGTACAAATGAAGAACCAGAATGGAGGAGGAGGAGGAGGAGGAGGAGGGGGAGAAATGAAGTTGAACATTCTTATAAAGGCTGGTAGACAACACTCATACACAAACAAGGAATAGATTAAGATAGCTAGCAGAAAATGCTGCCATCTGTAAGCCAATGCTGCACCAAACTATACCCATTGAATTTTCCATAAGAGAGTGCTGGAATCTTAATCTACAGTATTCAACAAAATAAAAGTTTTAATAGACCAATCCTATTTTTTGACAGGAATGCTCTGTCCAGTATATCTTCAAAAATAGACTTATAGAGCAATAACAAGAAGGACTGGCTTTGAGAGGATATAATTTAAGAATGAGACCACTTGATATTTAGATGGATAGCAGAGGGCCAGAAGTTTCTATTCTGATTAGTTTTAAATCTGCTTCAATTTTCTTCTTTTTATTTCTGTTTGTTCAGACTGTTTACCCATGGTCTGTAGTATCCAGATTTAAAACAAACAAAAGGTGCTTTTGATCCAGTGTAAGAATCTTTCAGTATTTTAAAAGAGCAGCATATTTTCATTGACTTGCATGTACCAGCATGGGTTTCAGAAAATATTTTTGAACATTATGGTTGGTTTGGGTGTTTGAGAAATATATCTTCATCCTCCTCCTCCATAAACCTCAGAAAGAGTTGTTCTTTAAGACTGGCTTCAAAGAACTATACTGCAATGGGAAAAAGGAATAACCTTGAGGAACAGGAAGAAGAGTCTCAACCAAGGCAGTAGTCAGACAAAAGAAATTTGAGTACAGGCCAAAAGCTATAATCCAAGTAAGCATCTCAGAATAGACTTCTCTAGTTCTTGTGAAGATAATGACAGGGACGGGTGAAGTGCCTTCAAACTTTCAAGCGTATATTATTAATAATAATAGCATGATTATACTACTATTGTATAGTAGTATTACTATATGAGTATACTGCTATTATAATAGCATAGTATTAGTATTAGTATAGTAGTATTATAATGATACTATTACACTACTATTATTATAGCTTACAATAACAGTAGAATTAGCTTGTGTAACTTTGGTTTCCTAATAGGTCCTGCTCACATATGTGCTTATATCATAGAAGAATAATGTCCTGAACAGCCTGAATTATAAAATGGGTGTCCTTAATAATAAAGCAGTCAAGGTTAGAACTGAAAAAAAATGTCAAATGATTCAAAAGACAGATTATGCAAAGAAGCAGAAGAAAGAGTAGCTCATAAACGTAGCTCATGCAAAAAGATCATGAGCTGAACATAAACAATAACATTACATAGTTTCAAAAATTCACTGGAACATTTGTAAACATTCTTCCGTAATGTTCTGGTAAAGAAAAAAGATGGAGAGAACATATAGTGAGCAAAGTGGTTGAAAATAAGGTTAAAATATTGTGGGATTTCCAAATACATGCACAGCATACCAGAGTTACCTGTGGTGGAAAAGAAGAACATGCATGTTAAAAAAAATGGAGGAAGACTTAAACATTTCTGCTGCTGTTGCATGGGAAGGGAACCTATGAAAATATCTGCAAAATTAAATAATTAGGATAATTGATCAGTTAGGACTTTTGGATTTCATCTCATTTATCTTACAGAGCAAATTCTGCTTTTATAGTCAGGAGTTTGTCATTATTCAATCATTAATTCATAAGAAATATAAAGGTAAAGGTTTCCTTCTCCAGTCGTGTCCAATTAATAAATATAATTTAAAAATTAGTCAATTTTGATCCTTCATGATCTAGGAGACATAATTTGGCCAAATTGTCAATCAGTAACAGCTTCTTGAGTTGTTTTTTTTTTAAATTTTTTATTGGAAAAGTTTTACAAACAACAAATTTTCCCCCCATTTTCCCCCCCATCCCTCCCCAACCCCCCAACCCCTCCCTCCCCATGACTTCCCCAAGGTGAAATCCATCCACATTATATTATGTCATACTTTACCACCCCTCTATTCCCCTCCCTGTGCACTATAAATTTTTACATCACAATAAACTATTTCGCCCCCTATAAACTATACATTTCTATACAACATTTAGCTAAAAACTATCTGGTACTTCCTGGTTTGGTATTTATTCTGCACATAATCTGTCCAATTCTTCCACTCCCATACATAACTCTCTTGAGTCCGGTCTTTTAAGTATGCTGATATCTTCGCCATTTCTGCGAAACTGGCCATCTTCAAGGTCCATTCTTGAATTGTAGGCACATCAACCCTTTTCCAATATTGACCAATCAATAACCTGGGTGCTGTCACCATATACAATATCAATTTTGTTTCACCCACTGGAAAACCCTTGACTATACCCAATAAGAACAAATGAGGAGAAAATTGAATTTTTTTCTTTAAAACATTTTGCATAACCCACCAAATTTTTATCCAAAAAGCCTTAACTTTCTTGCATGTCCACCATATATGATAATATGTAGCATCTAAACAATCGCATCTCCAACACTTCGGTTGAACATTAGGATACATACATGACAATTTCTTAGGATCTAAATGCCACCTATAAAACATTTTATAAAAATTTTCCCTTAAATTCTGCGACTGTGTAAACTTAACATTCTGAACCCATATTTTTTCCCATGTTTCCATCATAACTGGTTCTCCAAAATTTTGCGCCCATTTTATCATACAATCTTTAACCAATTCATTTTCTGAATCTCTCTCTAACAAAACATTATAAATCCTCTTAATATGCATTGGGCCTTTCTCTTTTATCTGTCTAACCAATTCTTCTTCATGCAGCATTAAACCAGTTTTTTGATCTTCTCTCCATCTCAACTGAAGTTGATTATACTGTAACCAAGTTAAATTAATCCCTTCTTCCAACAGTGTCTTCAATGTCTTTAGTTGCCATCTGCCCCCATCATTAAAAAGTACTTCTTTATATAACCCCCCCCAAGTGACTTTATATTTATATTCCATATAATATGACCAAGATCCAACCACAACGGTATTTTATAATCCCATTTGAATCGGTGCTTCTTCCATACTCTCATCAAGGAGCTTCTAAGTATATGACTATTAAATACTTTATCAACCTTGTTTTCATAAAATAAATATGCGTGCCAACCAAATTCAAGATCGTGGCTTTCTATATTCAATATTCCAGTCTTTGTCCTTCCAAACCAATCACTTGCTTGTGTAAACGCTGCAGCCTCATAATATAATCTCAGGTTTGGAAGTTTAAGACCACCCCTTTCACGAACATCTTGCATAATTTTCAGTTTAACTCTTGGCTTTTTCTCATTCCAAACAAACTTGTTCACTCCTTTTTGCCATTCAGTCAAATATTTATCACTTTTAAGCACCGGAATCATTTGGAACAAAAATAAAAATCTAGGTAGAACATTCATTTTAACTGCTGCTATTCTTCCAAGTAAAGACAGCTGCAGTTTTTTCCAAGTTTCCATATCCTTTTGTACCTTTCGCCACAACACCTAGTAATTATTTTGAAACAGTTTTATATTTGAATCTGTAACTTGAACTCCTAGATATCTCACTTTTGATACTATTTCAAAGCCTGCCTTCCTTTCCAGTTCCTTCTTTTGATCAACTGTCATATTTTTAACTATCATCTTGGTTTTTTCTGATTCAGTCTAAATCCCGATACCATACCATATTCTTCTATAATGTCTTTCATCTGAATTATTGATTCCATCGGCTGTGTTAGGGTAACAACCAGATCATCTGCAAATGCCCTTGTTCTGTAGTCCTCTTGCCTTATCACTATTCCCTTCAGAGTGCTAGAGTCCCGTATTGTGTTCAACAAGACTTCTAAAGTTAAAATAAACAACAACGGGGATAACGGACAACCTTGTCTTGTACCTTTTTCTATACTAAAATTTGTAGTTAAGCTTCCATTAATAATAATTTGTGCTGTTTGTTCTTGATAAATTGCTGCAACCGCGTGTACAAACTGGTCCCCAAAGTCCATCTTTTTTAAAGTCTTTAATAGAAAGTTCCAATTCACTCGATCAAAGGCCTTCTCCGCATCAAAAAACGCCAGCACTGCAGAAGTCTGTTTATTCTTCTCAAGATATTCCAATAAGTCTATAATTTGCCTCACATTATC